ACAATAGATTAGACCTTTATGATATCTTTGTCCACAGACAATAGACCTATGTGGGAGACAGCTGCGGCTACATGTGTTCCAGCTACAGGAGGATGGTCCAGGGATGGAGGAGCTAGATGAGGAGGACCTTGCTGCAGCCACTCACTGGCTTCTCCCTGCCCGCGATCTTCATGGCATGTGGGATAGCCTGGTATTTGATGAAGACGTCAAGGGTCAGGTGAGGATATCTGCTTAATGGAAGGGAGACAACTCAACATTATCATATTACTTAAAACACCATCGTAATAATGTTTAATTGAATAACTCCAATCTGATGAATATCTAATAACTTTGAATAGGGTATACCTACCAGATACTCCTAGAGTAAGACTTTTCTTCATATAGATTTCTGAGTCATGTTCAATTCCAGTAAGTGGTAGCAGTCTATAATCTTAACAATTACCCTGAGATAAAAATAATTAGATTTTCGATTGTTTTGCAGTTACTGAACTACGCCACAACTACACTATTGTTCTCAGACAAACAAGTGGACAGCAATGTGATCACCTGGAACAAAGTCATACTCCTTCATGGTAGGACTAGTTACTACAAATGTACCTCTCGAGTTATCACACGTGATATCAACATCCCTGATAAAGCACAAATGTATTTTTAGACAACCACAGTTGAAAGTTCATGTGAGCATTTGCTATAGCTGACAGGTTCTCCTGACATTTTAACATGTTTGAATGTTTAATTCTACTTTAGGGTAAGTGGAATTATCTTAGGAGTTCATAAATCAATATAGAATTGTATTTTTTTATGGTCTTGCTTTCGTTTGTTCTTCTAATCTTCAATTTCCTCATAAAACACAGGTAGAGGCCTTTGTAAAACATCAAAGCTATGTTACGTCTGGCCTTTTGTATGACAGGTCCTCCTGGCACGGGTAAGACATCCCTATGTAAGGCCCTGGCACAGAAGTTGGTGGTGCGTCTCTCTGACCGCTACAGCTACGGTCAGCTAATCGAGATAAACAGCCACAGCCTCTTCTCCAAGTGGTTCTCAGAGGTAAGGATGTATGTCAATATCAGCAGTTACAGTTTCTTCTTTAAATAGCTTTCATTGGCAAGGTCACATGTCAAAGACAACGGTCAGTCTCATTTCCAATTATTATTATTATTTATTTTTTTTTNCTCTGATATTCAATATAAAAGTTTGTATATAATAAGCTATATAATAGGGTTTCAGACAAGGTTGTTACTCATTTCCCCTTTTCTTTCAATTTACAACCACATTCAGGCGGCGATATGAGAACGCTCCACCACATGGAATTAGCTGATTTTTTTTGAACATATGAAACAAGTAAAGCTCTATCCGATTTTCTGATGGAAATTTGCATCCAAAACTATATAACGGGAGAAAATTGCAATTTTATGGCATTTTTC